TTCATGTTAGCAAGCAAACGGGCCTGTCAAGTATCCGAAGTTTCAAGACATCTTGCAGCAGCTGTTTGATTCATGTTAGCAAGCAAACTGGCCTGTCAAGTATCCGAAGTTCCAAGTCGTCTTGCAGCAATTATTTCATTCATATTAGCAAGCAAACGGGCGTGTCAAGTATCCGAAGTTCCAAGTCATCTTGCAGTAGCTGTTTGATTCATGTTAGCAAGCAAACGGGCCTGTTAAGTATCCGAAGTTCCAAGTCATCTTGCAGCAGTGGTTTGATTCATGTTAGCAAGAAAACGGGCTTGTCAAGTATCCGAAGTTTCAAGTCATCTTGCAACAGCTGTTTGAATCATGTTAGCAAGCAAACGGGCCTGTCAAGTATCCGAAGTTTCATGTAATCTTGCAGGAGCTGTTTGATTCATGTTAGCAAGCAAACGGGCCTGTCAAGTAACGGAATTTTCCAAGTTGTCTTGCAGCAGCGATTTGATTCTTGTTAGCAAGCAAACGGGCTTGTCAAGTATCCGAAGTTCCAAGTCGTCTTGCAGGAGCTGTTTGATTCATGTTAGCAAGCAAACGGGCCTGTCAAGTATCCGAAGTTCCAAGTCGTCTTGCAGCAACTATTTGATTCATGTTAGCAAGCAAACGGGCCTGTCAAGTATCCGAAGTTCCAAGTCGTCTTGCAGCAACTATTTGATTCATGTTAGCAAGCAAACGGGCCTGTCAAGTATCCGAAGTTCCAAGTCGTCTTGCAGCAACTATTTGATTCATGTTAGCAAGCAAACGGGCCTGTCAAGTGTCCGAAGTTCCAAGTCGTCTTGCAGCAGCTGTTTGATTCATGTTAGCAAGCAAACGGGCCTGTCAAGTATCCGAAGTTCCCAGTCATCTTGCAACAGCTGTTTGATTCATGTTAGCAAGCCAACGGGCCTGTCAAGTATCCGAAGTTCCAAGTCGTCTTGCAGCAACTATTTGATTCATGTTAGCAAGCAAACGGGCCTGTCAAGTATCCGAAGTACCAAGTCGTCTTGCAGCAACTATTTGATTCATGTTAGCAAGCAAACGGGCCTGTCAAGTAACGGAATTTTCCAAGTTGTCTTGCAGCAGCTATTTGATTCATGTTAGCAAGCAAACGGGCTTGTCAAGTATCCGAAGTTCTAAGATGTCTTGCAGCAGTTGTTTGATTCATTTTATCAAGCAAACGGACCTGTCAAGTATCCGAAGTTCCAAGTCGTCTTGCAGCAGCTGTTTGAATCATGTTTGCAAGCAAACGGGCCTGTCAAGTATCCGAAGTTCCAAGTCGTCTTGCAGCAATTATTTGATTCATATTAGCAAGCAAACGGGCGTATCAAGTATCCGAAGTTCCAAGTCATCTTGCAGGAGCTGTTTGCTTCATGTTAGCAAGCAAACGGGCCTGTCAAGTATCCGAAGTTCCAAGTCATCTTGCAGCAGTGGTTTGATTCATGTTAGCAAGCAAACGGGCTTGTCAAGTATCCGAAGTTTCAAGTCATCTTGCAAAAGCTGTTTGAATCATGTTAGCAAGCAAACGGGCTTGTCAAGTATCCGAAGTTCTAAGATGTCTTGCAGCAGTTGTTTGATTCATTTTATCAAGCAAACGGACCTGTCAAGTATCCGAAGTTCCAAGTCGTCTTGCAGCAGTTGTTTGATTCATGTTAGCAAGCAAACGGGCCTGTCAAGTATCCGAAGTTTCAAGACATCTTGCAGCAGCTGTTTGAATCATGTTAGCAAGCAAACGGGCCTGTCAAGTATCCGAAGTTCCAAGTCGTCTTGCAGCAACTATTTGATTCATGTTAGCAAGCAAACGGGCCTGTCAAGTATCCGAAGTTCCAAGTCGTCTTGCAGCAGCTGTTTGAATCATGTTTGCAAGCAAACGGGCCTGTCAAGTATCCGAAGTTCCAAGTCGTCTTGCAGCAATTATTTGATTCATATTAGGAAGCAAACGGGCGTATCAAGTATCCGAAGTTCCAAGTCATCTTGCAGGAGCTGTTTGATTCATGTTAGCAAGCTAACGGGCCTGTCAAGTATCCGAAGTTCCAAGTCATCTTGCAGCAGTGGTTTGATTCATGTTAGCAAGCAAACGGGCTTGTCAAGTATCCGAAGTTTCAAGTCATCTTGTAACAGCTGTTTGAATCATGTTAGCAAGCAAACGGGCTTGTCAATTATCCGAAGTTCTAAGATGTCTTGCAGCAGTTGTTTGATTCATTTTATCAAGCAAACGGACCTGTCAAGTATCCGAAGTTCCACGTTGTCTTGCAGCAACTATTTGAATCATCTTAGCAAGCAAACGGGCCTGTCAAGTATCCGAAGTTCCAAGTCGTCTTGCAGCAGTTGTTTGATTCATGTTAGCAAGCAAACGGGCCTGTCAAGTATCCGAATTTCCAAGTCGTCTTGCAGCAGTTGTTTGATTCATGTTAGCAAGCAAAAGGTCCTGTCAAGTATCCACAGTTGCAAGTTGTCTTGCAGTAACAGTTTGATTCGCGGTAAGAAGCAAACGGGTTTGTCGAGTTATCCGCAGGTTCAAATTGTCTTGCAGCAGCAGTATGATTCATGTTATTAAGGAAACAGACATGTCGATATCCACAGTTTCAATTTGACCTACAGCAGCAGTTTAATTCTTGTTTACAAACAAACGGGTCCGTTGAACGTTTTCATTTTCTTATGATCGTTTTTGTTTTTTCCTCTTGGCCTCTGAAGATGAAATCCATATGATAATTTTTTGATAGTTATGTCTTTATTTTAATTGAATCAGTGAAACTGAAGTGATTGCTAAATAATAGAAGACTTTTGCTGGTTGCTTGATCGTTATAAGTTTATTGTTCTTAATATAAATACATTGTGGAGTATTCACTCACATTAATGTAGTAGAAAGTAGAGTGGTGTTCAGGTTGAATAAATGGTAAAATAAGCGTACGCAATAAGAGAAAAAGCATGGTAAATTTTATGTTAATTTCATACAATATATTCATGTATTTTGAATTGGTGTGTGTGTGTGTGTGTGTGTGTATCTGTTTACGTGTGTGTCTGTCTTTCAGTTACAAACATTTTACACCGTAGTATTACAATGTATAACATAGAGAACAGTTACACCCGTGTTCACTGCCTGAGTGTCCTTTGCGAAGAAATTGAATCTCACCTCTTTTGGCGAGGTGTCCGTGTATTCGGCAATGACAGTTTTTGCTTCATACTGTGACTAATTTTATTATTTTTATTTTTTTATTTAATTTATTTTAAACAAAGTATAATGTTATTGTTTTATTTTATTTATAATTTTCATTATTATTATTATTATTATTATTATTATTATTTATTATTATTATTATTATTATTTTATATTTTATTTTATTCATTTACTAGCAGTAAAGGCCGGTGTTGCCCGGGATTTTATGTAGTTAAATTGTTTTGGGGTTTGAATTATTGAACTTACGCACGTATCCGCAAGGGTTGAGGTCATTAATAGGCCGGGAATCTGACTGGTAGCAAAATCAATGAGATCAAGGGCAACCTATTGCAAGAGGTGGCTGCTGTGTTGCTGCTTCGTGCTTAACCGAAGACTTCCACCCGTTCATAATCGGTCAAGATTTTGAAATCAGGCAATGTAAAATAGTGGTTGCATTTTCACTGTAGGACTCGTCCCTTCAATATTAAATCCATAAGTTTTCCCAGTTTTAAGCGGAATACGCGGGGGTAATGTCATGTCTGTGAGTGTAATTCTGTCCGGGTAGGAGTTCACGTGTTATCTTAAACCATTTGGGGTTGCAGGTAAACGATATACATAAGTCTGGCCGCTAACGTATGTCATAGCGTCCTGCGTGCATTCATGCATGTAACGCGCCCCCCCCCCACAGTGTAGGTAGAGGGCAGAGAATGTACAGCTTCTCTAGGTCGCGGGGATTGATTTTATTTCGAAGGCTATCGCGTAAAAGTACGTAGGAGTCAGAGCGCATCTGTTTCTGGTGATTCCGTATAAAACAAAGCCATATTACATATTAGCGGCCATGTCAATTGCAAACTGGTGGAAAAGCTCCCTGCATCTATGAAGCAGGTTGAAATCTCTATCCCTAACCATGGACCGGTATCGGTAGAAGGTCTTGCACGATAAGGCTTTGGAAGACGTTATAGGTTGGCCACCCGGAGTATAAAGGGGAATGCCGAAGTGGTAGCCATCGTCACCATAAGGGAAATGTAAAGATTATTGCAATGCGTCATATGATCGATGGGTCTATGAAATCCTGCGAAGAGCGCCGCCTCTTGATTTAAGGACAATATCGCGAATGAGGTCTTGCTCCCCATGTATAATAGTGGCCACTTTGTTGCACGCAGGAGCATTGTAGCGGCGTTCGTGTTCATCATGAGGACGTTTGTCGGCATCAATTACAATGCTGAAGGAAGGAAAGGGAGCATTTTCCAAAGCATATTTGAAACTGCGAATGTAGCTGTTAACCTCGTGAAGCATGGCCTGAAGTAGTAGCATGACGTCCCTGCTAATCCGGGTTTAGGCCTGTAGGTTGTAGTCTGCAATAAAGTACAGTTGAAGGAATTTAGGCGTAGAGGTCTCCTCAGGCAGTAGAGACCTAATGCGGTGGTATACCTGCCCCTGTACTTTGAAAGTGGGCATCCAACCCTCTTCTCGAACCACCTGAGCTCCAAATGAGGTCATTGCATTGCCTAATTGTTTTAAGGAAGTGGTTGGAGTAGGGATGGGAGCCGGCTATTAGTTTCCTCAACGGGGTAGATGGTTCGTGCAGAGGTGACAGTCGAACTTTGCCGGTGGAGCAGCACATACCTGCAGGCTCCCTGGCCCATTTGCTGGCGTTGCAGAATTGGCAAACGCAGGTCATGGACCCTACATTGATGTCGTCACACCTAGTAAAGTTAATGCCAGAGTCGTAATTGAAAGCCAAGAATAATCAAAAAGAGCTACTGGGAGAGGTAATACCACGGGCGGCAGCAAGACGCTGAATACCACCGTCGAGGCGTATACGGCGAGCTTAGGGAGTTTGAGAATAGCGCACAGCAGCCATGTTTGTAGCAGGCCTTGAAAGTCTGTGTGCCCTTGTCGGTGGGCCCTCGGACTTTCCGGCAGCAGAAGTCGCAGCAGCGTTGCGGGCATTGCAGTTTGCCCGCTGCAGCTCTGTCTCGGACTCCCTCGACCTAGCTGTTGCAGCAGCATCCCTGTATTGACGGGCGCGCCTGCCTGTCAAATGTTTCAGCTGCCCTAGACCTGGCAGTGGTGGCAGCATTCCTATCATTTTGAACAGACCTACGTAGCGGTGTCTTAGCAACCCTAGCGCTCGCTGTTGCAGCAGCGTCCCTGGATTGAAGGCGCGCCTGCGGGCAGGTGTCTCTACTGCCCTCGATTTGGCAGTGGTTGCAGTATTTCTAGCATTTCGAACAGACCTACAGAGCGGTGTCTCAGCAACCCTAGCGCTCGCTGTTGCAGTAGCGTCTCTCTTTTGACTTGCGCGCCTGTGGTCAATAGTCTCTATTGCACTTGATTTCGCAGTGGCAGCAGCGTTTCTTACGTTACGAAGAAGACTTTGATGATGACTGTAGGCAGCTTTCCCGGTCAAGCAGGTGACACGCTCCTCTTGTGACTGCGAGGCCTGCGTGAGGGCGCTGCGTTGAGCGACCTGTGATAGTCGCCCTTCTTGCCCTCATAGCGGGCGCTCTTGCAGACCGAAGGCTAAGACGTACCCTCCTTTTTAGAGGCATTAGGAAAAGTGATCCTAGTAGTGGTTGATTAGTGTTGCTCAATTGCAGTAGTAGAAAGTCTAACATAGTATCTCAAAGCGTGAGCCAGAATCGGGAAGGCAGGCATTTAAGTAAAACAGCTGAATTGTTTATGGTAGTTGGAAAAATGGAGTTAAACAGACAAACGGAAAACAAAAACCTAAGAAACAACTTGCGGTAGTAGAAATGATCAGTTGAAGGAGCCTATCGTATCAACCGGATGGCGGCGTAACAGGACCAGAAGTGATACCTTCGTCCCACAACTGCGCTCAGCAGGTTCAAATGCGAAGTATTACTGGCCAATCGGCTGTGCCAATCAGCGAGCGTCTTAGGGTCTCGAACACCAATCAGCGACCGCGTACTTCACTCAGCCAATGAGATACCGTTATGTGAAGCATAGTCACGCGTGTGTGAATAACAATCAACTGTAGAGTCTGTCGTGTAGACGTCTCAGTTAAACATACGTTTGATTGGTGTATTCACAAAAATTGTGCATCGTTTCTTAACCACTCAGGAGTGATGACCTGCGTAACGAGAATGAAAAACAACTGAAATTACGATGAAAAACAACGAGGTAATAATGGATAATGATAACGATATTCAAAAATATAATGTTACTCTTTTTATTATGAATAGCTATGCTTTTAAACAGAAATAATTTTTATTTTAGTCGTTTCCCTCTAAGCAAGTGGTAATTCCACTGAGATCCAAAGAGAATGAAAGAAGATAAAAATACCTCAGTTAGGATAAAAGACAATAAAAGAACAGATTTCAGGAAGACAGAATATGGTGATTGATGTTCACTTAAAGTTTTAAAGATCTTATTTAACAAGAAAGCAATAAACCGAACGAGCGTTTCACAAGAATGAAATGGGAGAGAAAAGAATATTCAATAGAATTTACAATTAAATCTTCTTATTTCAACAGTCAAACGATTTTTCTAACACTATATTTATTCCTTAATTGTAAAAGAAGGACAAATGATATTAAAGATTTAGGATAATAAATGTTATTAGGAAATTATCCATCTACTTATTGGATATGAAATATGTGTGTTGTCAGTACACGATATCTCTTGGAAGAGGGTTTACAAGATTGAATTCAGAGGCCAGGCCCCACCGTGAACAAAACGAACCTTCCATTTGGATAACATTACTTGTAATATAACTTGGAGATGGATTGCCGAAATAACGATTCGTCTGGATGAATACATCTGCAGATTTCACCCTTGATAAGTGCAGTGAACAGGACAGGTACTTAGATCCTTAGCGATCCTACGACAAGTTCCAGGATTTGGACTGACAATAATAATATAATTGTTGTTGCTGTTGATTCTTACATGCATTTGAGCAGGTACATGTGCACGTGAACATGTGCACGTGAACACGTGCACGTGAGCATGTGCACGTGAGCATGTGCACGTGAGCATGTGCACGGGCAAGTGTTTAATCCCTCTATAATATTTCCTGTTATATCATTGTTCTTATATTAGTATTTATTAAGCCACTTTTCTCATTTTCTATACCGTATCCCTACAAGAAGTTGGCGATCAAGGCTGTCTATAATTTCCAATCGTTTGTGTCTCTAATCAATATCAGTATTTATCTATCTGCCCCAACTCTTGTTATCCATTTACACATGCTTGTTAGGTAGTTTATTCGCTGTCCCTTTGAACTTTAATATGACCTGTGATTAATCAGTTAATACCATAACTAAGACATGTATCATCAAATTTATAATCTTGCATAAATTAAATTTTGTTAAAAATATATTATTAACGATAGATTTCTTCTTCTGGGTTAAATTTATCTAAGTACTGAAGACAAATAGACAGAAATACAAGTAGGAATATTATTATTTTTGTTTTCATCCTGATCAAGGTGATAAAGCCACTAAGGCATAAAGCGTTATCGAGAGCGGAATAAACCGAGAAAACGGAGATGATAAGGAATATTAAAAGACCAGGATTCAACGAAACAAAAGATGACACTTGAAGTTGCTTATAAATGTTTGAAGATCAAAATTGACAGGAAGCTGTAAGGCAGTTTCTCAAGCGATAAGTGCAAGTAAAGAAAATATTAGCATAGAACCTATGCTGACACTTATAAATTTCAACTGTAAATTAATGAGACCTACCTGCCAAGTTAGTACTACGCTTAAATCCGTGAAATCGATTTATCATAGGGATAAGCTTATGAGAAAAATTACCAAGAATGTATTTATATTAAAGGAACAATGAAGCTACGTTGTGGGCAACCGACTGAAACCGAGACGACAGATCAGGATCGATGGCATTGCAGATAGCTTTTTTAATTCAGTTAATAATCTCTAGATATATAGCAGAAGCACCAGACCAGATGTGACAGCAATAATCAAGACCCTAATTAATGGTATTCTTATAAATGTGAAAGATAACTTCTAGCGAGAGAGCTTATTCAACACGCCTTTTAGCAGCATACCTCGCATTTGATACAACTTAATCGTTCCACTTAATGCCTGTTGAAAACTTTTGACTAATACGATGCAATTACTTACTCTTCTGTAGATTTGTATCATGAAATGTAAAAAAAGGTTTTCGTATACGATTAAAGGGGAGCAGTTTATTTAAAGGCGTTAAAATTAAAAAACCATTAAAAGCAGATAAAAATCATTTCGAGATAAGCTGAAAACTTTACCGTATCGAAGCTATCAGACGTATCTTTAAGTTTTCAGTAATTACTTGTGTCATCAACATAGATACCGAGTTGATAAATGACGACATCGTAACGATCGTTGAGCGATATTAGGAACAGAGTAGATCCAATGATAGAAGTGACACCCGAATTAATGTAAAATACTCTAGAAGAGTGGCCATTCAAGACAATATTCATTTCGTTACTTGAAATAAAAGTTTGAATCAAATCAAACATTCAGCCTGGGAAATTATACCTCTTTACCTTGTGAAGAAAACCAGCATTCCTTCCGCTGTCAAACCACTCCGAGATATCCAAGACAACAACCCCAAAATGTAAAATTTCATTCGCTTCTGTTTGTTCTATCCTGAAATTCTGATATTTTAAAATTGCTCCAGATTTAAAAACTGATCTCTCAGGTCGACATAGACTGAAAAAAAAAAAAAACAAACTAAGATATACAGTTTCACGTGTAAAATATATAAATGTAGTAAGCTTAAAAAAAGAAAGAATTTTAGACGAAACAATCAAAACTCAGAACAACTTAGATTTTTAAAAAATGTAGACACCACATAACAAATAATAACTAAAAAATAAAATCCCAATTTTCCATCAAGATTCAACTTGATTACAGGTGTTGATGAGAAGTTATAGAACACCTCTGGGATTAGGACTGTCAAAAACGACATAAAAAATGGTTGAAAACTGAAAAATGGAAAAGATTCAGAGATGTTGAAAAAATAAAAATGTTTGCAAAACTGAATCGAACACTCAAGTAAACATATGCGTTATTCATTAAAATATTATCAGTAAAAATATCAAAAAATGTAAATGACAGAAAACATTTCTATGTGCATCAGAAGAAAAAACGTAATGTTTGAGAAGTTTTGCTTTTTAAGTACAAATAGAAAAACATAGTGCCATATTTTCAAGAAACGTTCTGATTTAATTGCAAAAAGTCCGAATATTCTAATAAATAATTCACACACACACACACACACACACACACACACACACACACACACACACACATATATATATATATATATATATATATATATATATATATATATATATATATGTAATTAAAAAGAAATATGGTCCAAGGGTGCTTCTTATAATACATAGATTTAATATGCTGGTTAAAATTTGAAGAGTAAAAAGCCAACAAAATTTCAACAATATTGGGGAAAAAAATTGATAATTATTAAATATTAAGCTTTTGATTAAATTGACGCACGAAGAGAGAGTTTTAAATGTTGGAATTTTCGAACATGCCTGTGTTATTTTTCAAAGATAAAAGGAATAAACAAAATGGGACTTAGTCTTCTGAGGAATGTTGCTGTTGTTGGTCAGAGTTCTCCCTGTGGGTATTATACTCTCTGAGTAAACCCAAATCCCTGTTTAATCCCTCTTGCGTGATTTTATTTTGAAAATTTATTTCAACTCAGATCTGGGTATTTCTTGTCGGCTGTTGAATATAGACCCTAAAAGACTTCTGATGTCACCAATGCTATGAAACGGTTGGTTGAAGTGTACAGCGACAAGGATATTGTTGTTATGTTTTATGTTAATTTCATGGATATTGAATCAAAGACGAATATATATATATATATATATATATATATATATATATATATATATATATATATATGTATGTATGTAAGTGTGTGTGTGCATGTATATATATATATATATATATATATATATATATATATATAGAGAGAGAGAGAGAGAGAGAGAGCGACATAACTTAAGAATCAGCTTATTTTGTGCAAAGTCGCGAAATGTTTAGAATGGAAAATCTGTTTAAGGTCATAAAATTTACACGTCACGTATTTTTAATCTCCCTACGTTGTTTAAAAACACGTTTTAACTAATCAGAAGAAAGATAAAATATTTTCGCTAAGCTTAACGTAATAAAAGATAAAAACATTTCTTGTTTTTGTTTTTTCTTTTACATTTTTTACTTTTGTTATTGGTCTTTTAATGAGTACCATACCAATTTGACAGATGTTTTGTATTTGCTGTTCTAATTATATGATGCATTTTATAGTTATTAGGTTGATGCTGTATTAATAGCAGATGTTTCATTAAGCATAACGTCGGTGTCTCCATAGAAAATTGCAAATGGTTGCTATCGACGGTATCCCTCACGCAATAAATTTGTGGACTTCAGTATTAAAACTGATCATTCAAAGCTTTTCCAAGTCATAATATCGATGTCCAAGACTACATTAATTTTACAAGATATTTCAATCAGATTATTCTGTTAATAATATAGAGTTTATAATTTTACGAACTAGCGTCTAAATTAAATAGAAAAAATATCCATATGTATATCTCATAACTATCAGATCATTGCAAAAGTTCGTAACCGATTTTCATTGTTAATATAAAATGAACGCAAAATTATACTAGTGTTTGTTTGTATACGATTACTACTGCGTTCTAGTCTGAAAAATTGTATCGTTCATTTGCGTGATAGAATTTGTTGAATGTTGACTTTATGTCCACATGTGAATGCTTTAAAGCTGTCGGATGAAAAGTTCCACTTTCGTCATATTGTGGTCCATGAATTTCGGTAAGGAGGAATAGTGGGAGCTACAAGAAAAAATATTCAGAAAGTTTATTTGGATCGTGCTCCAGATCTTCGGACGATGAAACAGTTGGTAGGTAGCTTTTGTCAGGGTAATTTTAACCATGAACCAGGCGACATTTCGACGTCGATGAAAACGCTCAGCTTGCCATTCTGGAGAATAATTCGAGTATTTCAAAGAAAGAGTTAGCTAAGAGTGTGAAAATCTTAACTGCCTTTTATCATTTGAAGAGACATAGGTTCATTTCTACTCTCAAGACATAGATGCCACATTTTGTGAACGGACGGATGAAGATCGACAATATGTGTGCGGCGATGTCTTTGTTGCTGCGCCATGAAAAGGAGCCGTTTTTAGACAGAATTTTCAGAGGTGATAAAAAAATTGATTGTTTTTTTTTTCTTTTTTCATGGCGCTCAGTGCTGGAAACAATGTGAATGTGCATAACTCATGGCTAAAATGGGCTTGCATCCATTGAGAGTGGATTATTTAATTTGAGCTTCTTCCAACCGCGGGAATAATAACTGCAAAGATACTTTACGACCACATACCAATCTCAATGCAGGTATTCAAGAACAAAAATGGCCGATATTAGCAAATTGAAAAGGTTTCATTTTCCACTACGACAACGCAGGACCGCATGTTAAAAAAACAGGCCGTTCAGAGGCTGAAAGAGTTGAAATACAAAACTCTTTAACCCTTTGACATTTTCTACTGACTACGTCGTTGCTAGGTGTCTAATTACACGACCGGACAATTTCTGAGCGCCACAATCCATTTCAGGTCTCTAAAGTTTTTACCCACATTTAAAACTCATTGTGTTTGCTGAAAGACAACTCTCCTTATTTAGTCATTTTTAATGTTTTTTACTAATATTCAACTAATACAAGAGCCAATCAAAGAAATGCGAGGTAAATAAGTTCTATATCTTATGAGTGTAAATAGGATACATCTTCATTTTATTATGTTCAGAATTAATTAATAAAAATAATTACCTATTTCTGAAAGGTGTTATTCCTAGTGATGAAAAGTGAAATTTTGTATCTGCCTGCTTTCAATATCTTAATATATACTACTAGAAGGACACCGAGACTCAAAATATAAATAAGATGTAGGTACCTCAAATAATTACATGAATCTCTTCAAGGTCATAATAATAT